ATATCCCAAGTAATTTCTTACTAAAAATAGTTAACTTACTCTTTAAGTTACCCAGGCTAGTCTTGACCTCTTGACATCAAGTGATCTTCCTGGCTTAGCCAGCCTCCTGAGTAGCTGGTATTTAGGCGTGCACCACTGTGTCTGGTAGAAATTTGAAATGTTTAAAAGTGTATTTGGGCCAGGCGTGGTGGCTCACGACTGTAATCGTAGCACTTTGGGAGGCTGAGGCGAGCGGATCACCTGAGGTCAGGAATTCGAAACCAGCCTGGCCAACGTGGCAAAACCCCGTCTCTATTAAAAATACAAAATTAGCTGGGCGTGGTGACACATGCCTGTAACCTCAACTACTCGGGAGGCTGAGGCAGGAGAATCTCTTGAACCTGGGAGGGGGAGGTTGCAATGAGCTGAGATCGTGCCATTGCACTCCAGCCTGGGCAACAGAGTGGGACTCCATCTCAAAAAGCAAAAAAAAACAAAAACACGTGTATTTGGACAGATTGGAACATACTTCTATGATGATTTCCACTCACTTTCTTGCATGGAAGAGGAGTGGAGTTCCAGCTAGCACACAGCCCACAGCCTGTCTAATCTGTGCTACAGCTCCTGTGACTTTTTGAAATGATTGACTTTATGACACACATTCATGTAAAATGATTTCTATGGATGTTATAGCCCCAAAGTAGTCAGCAACACTATTTGTTTTACTGTCCTGTTTTTTCAAAAGTAACAAAAAGCCATGAGAGCTCTCACCCAAATCCTTATGCATCTCTGTGGGCAGAGATCACACACATTAATATAATCCTTCGTTTGTGACTTACCAGACCATTGAGAGCCACTACTACATAGTAGTAATTTCATGTAACCTCTAGGAAACAAGAGACTATCACTGTTCAGTATTCCTCCAGTGATTATTTTGGAACCCAGGTTCTAATAGGACTCTTTTCAGGGACACCAGTTGAAGGTCTGTAGTTTAGTTTTTTCGCCACTGGACACAGCCTCTTAGTACTGGAATAACCTGGTTGCCTAGAGCAGTAGTCACCAAGCACTTTCTAGCATGTTCACCTATTATTAAAACATTTTTAGCATACTTACATAGGATACATACATAACATAAAAAATACATACAAGTCCTACTATGCCATACTTTCAAAGAGCTCATTCTAAAAATAAGAGATGTCTCAGAGTTGCAATTTTCTTGTTTTCTGGTTAGTTATTAGTATGATTATTATTGTCTTTGATTCATGACTTCTTTGAAGGAATTTGTGTAACTCTCTTCATTTTCATTTGATTTTAGTTGAAACCAGGTAATATAATCCATAAGCCCACTTTATTGGGCACCTGTATGTTTCCATTAATCACAGTATGCTGAAAGTAAACAAATGTGGATTATGCAAGCCCAGCCCACCTGCTGAGTGAAGAACACCCCACGCCCTTGAGAAACCTCTAGTGTCACATATAAAGTGAAGCTGCCTATCGTAAAGACTGAGTGAGGCACCTGCGTATCAATTAGACGTTAACTCAATATTTCTTCTACCTTAAGAAGTCAACTTAAATAAGAGCTGTAAAATCTTCCTCCTGTGTTCCAAGGGATTTTTTTTTTCATCACTCCTTGCAATGTGCCAGTTCTTTTGGGGAGCACTGATCTCAGAAAAACGGGAAGAGGCTGTGTTTCTTGATTGGCAGTGTGAAACTAATATTCAGGG